CGACGAAAGGTCCGTTCGGCGCAGTGAGAAATGAGAGCATAAAACAATATATATATTTTTGCGCTGCACAAATGAAATTATATCGTCTTGTATTTTTTGTTTTGGTTTTTTGGTTTAAATTTTTTGTTTTTTTTTTCTTTTGTTGGCGATGAAAAGTGCAGAATTCGAAAAGAGCGCGCTCGCTGTACAAATGAATGTGTGTTTGTGTGTGTGTGTGTGTGTTGTAAATAATAGACGGGAAAAAATTCTAAATTACATTGGCCACAATGATGCCGCAATGACCATGGTGTATGATCGTGTTACGCTTGCATGTAAGTTCAACCATTAGTGGATAAAACGGTGTTGTGACCTTAAGCCATAAATTCCGATGATTGTGTCCACTCCGTTGTTGTAGTTGCTGGTCCCCTCTTTCTACTGTGATTTTTCTCTGAATGTTTTGGCTTCTCGACGATTTGTGCGACGCAAAGAATTTGAATGAGAGCAAAATAACCTTACGTAAATTATATCGTAACCGAGAGTTAATCTGCTCGGTTTGTTGTCAGATGATGATTAAAGTCAATTGCCTAAAAAAAAACACATACACATACACATACGGCCGATTTAACCTTGTTGAACGGAATGGTTCAAGTTCGGGAGGCATTTTCCAATCCCTTTATCTCGTGGCAGTGTGTATGATGTTGGGATCATGCCGTTAGCTCGGTAGGATTAAAATTCTCGTTTCATGACATGCGTTTCCATTGTAAAAAGGTAAAATAATAATCATAAAATCTTAAGATTTTCGAGCTAAGCGAAAAGCTATTTTCTTATGGCAATCGCTTTACATTGTAACCGCGTTTCAAAGAGGCTTAAGTGTCGCACGGCCATTTCAATCTACCGAAGCTGATGCTACTATTTCTTTTCCCTGTTGTTTTTTTTCTCTCTCCTCTCAATCTCAATAAATTGATTCGCAATGCAAGAACCACCTATTTCGAATTACAATCGAACCGAGCTCGATAATACTTTGTTACAGTTGGCTTGTCATTTGTCGTCCATTCGATCCCGTTCTTTGCATACACATTCTTTTTCTCATCTCTTTTTTTTTTTACTTTTGATCTCATTTTTCAAATTGGCAGCAGCAATACACACATACACACTCCTTTAGTTATATCCATCAATCAGCAACAGTACATATTTTGTTGCCACTATATTTCATACTGTTTCCTCTCTTCGGTTGTCCTACACTCCAGGGTGACATGGAGTTGTAAAAAATATAAATCAAGTTCCAATTTAAAGACCATTAATAATGTTTTGCTTCTTGAGCTCAACCGAGCTATTCGCATCTTTAACGTTGTCGTTTGCACTTTTCAAGTTTGTACGCGTTTAAGTTCAACTGGAAGCAGATGCCAACGAGAGAGACATACACACATTCATTGGCGATTGTTGGAATGTCGTGATGCCCATTTCATACGCATTTTCTCATGTTTTTGATGAATCAAGAGCAGAGAAACATGTTTTAGATATAGAATGAAAAATAAGAAATGAGAAGCGATAATCACTACAAAAAAAAAACAGCAACAACCTATGCAAACGGCACATACACACACATACTGTGACCGAAGACTAATTTTGCTAAAATGGAAGTCTCTGTCTATGCTCACTTGTTTGGATTCAATGTCGACACGAAAAAAAAATCGCTATTCATTCAGTTTTAACGTAGAAAAATGCATTGATTACTGATAAAATTGAATCGAGACTGCATGAACAGCACGAAGATGTACTGGCCTCGCATCGATAAAAACAAATATTTACAAGAAACACATCCAGAATATTTATATACGCAACAACGTAGTACATGAACTACCAATGAACACCACACGTACAATTCGCAATAATTTATACAATTATTCAATTTTATGTGATGTCAACATTTATTTGACTTGTTCATATCCATCGCAAATTCATTTCCCCGTTTCGTACATGTCGAATGATTCGTCTCTTTTGTACCAAAAAATCTCAGCTAAAGAATTCTCCTAAATGGATTTGCTTCATTTTTAATTATATGGTAAATGCCACTTGAGTCGGTGTTATTTCCTGTAAATCACATATCGTACCGAGTCAGACTCTCAGTCAATCATATACGAACACGCACACGGACGAAAAAAACTAAAATTGCTATGCCATGTGTGTGCCGCACGGCGCACGCTGTGTGATTCAATCGAACATGAATAGTCGCTTGATTTGGTTGTTCCGGTTGTTTAGTACGAAGCCGAGTTAATGAGTTGCAGCTCCAATCATCGAGAGCTAAATGTTAAGCTAGTAGTTGACCTAATCGTATAAAGGTCATTGATGCTAAATGCGATTTCGTAATTGTGTGCTTTTAGCTCACTCACTCTCATTCGTTCGCATTTATCTCATCGATGCGAATTGAGGCAGCTATTAAGTTACAGCAGAAAATTGCTGAATTTCAATTTTCGATTATTATTATTTCTCGGTGTGTTCTGTGTATACACATTTATTAATGCAATGTAGATTTCCATTGTATCTAAATATACAAAATAATGAAATCGATTTTTCTTCCATTTATTTGCTGTCACGTATTCATATCAGATGATCATCTGACGACGTTTTCATTTAGTTCGGTTTAATTACTGGAAAATAAGCACAATTTGAACACAATATTCGGTTTCGCAAAAAATCTGTTTTGAATAAACACACCGATGAACGAATCATTTTTCGTTTACAAATTTGAATAAATTTTTTCATCACGTGTCTACGATTTGTTAAGCTATTCTCCCGTTTTTACAAGCATTTGGCGTACAGCGAGAAAAAAAACGAAGATTTTAATTTAGCAGGAATTGAATGGGAAAACATGCTAGAGTTTGCGATATTCAGCCAATCGTATTATTATAAGCCTCTCTCTAATCCATAGTTAGAGTGTGCAATTGTGCATTCTCTCGCATTTACCAGTTTTGCACATTTAAGCGATTTTTTCTTTTCATTTTCTTCGACAAAAGGATTTTTTTCCACCTAGCTCATATCAACATTTTTTTTTTTTTTGCCTCAGTGCACCTTGATGGAATGTAGTGCACAGCATTAAACTGAACTGGAAAAAATGATAAATAATAAAAAAAACATCACCTGTCATATTTAAACTGAAATTGAATTGAATTGCACGGTGGAATTTGACCGAAGCGACGGAATAAAGGTTAAATGAACAGGAGATATTTCATTTGCTTACTTACTCACACACTCATTCAGCGCGTTTCCATTCAATTTCGACGACATATTTGTGACATCAAATATCGAAATGCGAGCAACACACCGCCTCGTATAATACCTCGTATCGTTAACCAAGACAATCAAAACCGTGTGTGATAAAATAAAAAGCAACAACAGCAACACCCAATATACCCAAGTCTAAAATTATGGAAGTACTCCAAATAAGCGTGTGCAGGCGATCGCGCGCAAGGTGAGAGACGAACAGTTCAGCAAAGAAAGACGACGAAGATAAGTTGTACAAAAGTGCCTGAACTGAGTGACTGATTTCAGTGTATAATTTACGTACATTAATGTGTGCGTTAGTTCACCCGGTGGAAAACATATATATATGAACGACAACAACAAAAATGACCGTGCTAATTAACGCTGTGTTCGAACTTTGAATATATGAGCAACGTAATTAGAAAAATATCTTTAGGGCGTGGGAATATCGACGATAAAAACATGTGGCGATGGGAGATTTATCCATAAGAGATTATTTTGCGTAACTTTCTGTTACTGAATTTGGTCCGTGAAATACGCATGTATGCCTTATTAGCATCTGACCCTCGCTTTGCTTAATCATTCGAATAGAATTGACAACAAAACGCGGTGAAAGTGTCAAACTTTTTGGAAATTTCCGATCAGAGCCAATCAAAGAAGAAATTTCCAATCAGAGCCCATTCAAAGCGAATGGAACACAAAATATTCCTTGCCCTGAATTGTCATTCGTCGTGTCGAAGTAACATCATCGATGTCAGTACAACCGGGGAAAAAAAAGAGACACAGCAACGACAATGCATGAACTCGAACTATGGCTCATCGAAACCGCAGTGAACGAGCTGCGAACCATACGCGAACAGAGAAATATGAATAAAATTTTGATCGTATGAATGAGCAATGAAGGAAACGAAAAAGAAACCAAAATGAAATGAACGAAAAAAAAAACCACACACAACACAGGGCACAGAACACAGAGAGAATAAGAAGGAGAAAAGAAATAAAAAACAACGAAGTGAGCATAGCAAAACAAACACGGTAGATCTCGTTAAGAGACGATCGGTCACATACACATGCAGACGAAATGACGGGAGCAAATCAACATCGGCTTTTGGGCGGTAGAGAATAAAATGCACATTGAAAAATGTACCTGTGTATCGCGCGCTTCGCGTCTCGAGTAATGTTGTTGACTTTTTTTTCTCTTCTCTTCTCTTCTCTTCTCTCTCTCTCTCTCTCTCTCTCTCTTTTCGCTGCTTCCACCGAAACGAAGAGTATCCACAACTACACATGTGTCGCCATCGTCTGAATGCGATGATCTGTGAGCGCGCCCGAGACTGTTGTTGTTCCGTATGTGCGCGCCCGTTCCTTTATTTCACTGAAAAGCCTCTCTCTCTCTCTCTCTTGCTCGTTCGCTCGTTCGCTCGTTCGCTACATACCCATGCTACACACGTACACGTTTTCTTCATTGGCCACTTCGTTCAATATTCTTATATGGTGCGCGCTTGTATTTCTACTGAATCGATCGTATTGTATACCGTTTTCTGAGTCCAAAACCACCATACATTCTTACTAGAACCATACAGTCGCGCAATCACTATCTCTCTATACCGTGTGGCACCGTGGGCTTGTGCATGTGTATGCATGTATTCGAGGCATTTGAATAAACTAAAAAAGCATACAGTCGCACACGAAATAAAAATCATTTGTGGATCTCTCGCGCGCGCATAGCAATGCGACTGATTCAAATAAAGTTTAATCAGTCGGTTAAGTGACGTTACTGCAAGAGGTTCTCTCTGGTGGATGATTCTTTTTTTTGTTGTTAAAGTTTCGTTTCTGTTTCGTTATTTTTCCGTTGTTGTTATTATTATTGTGTGTGTGCTTTTTTTGAACTTCTTCGAAACACAACAGAAAAAGTAAAGATTTTTTCCTTTCGAGTTCGTTCCGCTTGATTTTGTTTATTTCTAGTGCATGATTGATTAATTTTTTTTTCTTCTTTCTGCATCGAACAATAATTCATATGTACATTTGAAACGAAAACGTCATTTTGCTACTTGGCGCAATTTGTTCTTCCATTTCGCCTTGTTTCAATTAGTTTTGACACTGAACGATCAATTCGAACGTGATTTTATTTTGTTCTTGTCTGCGTTCATTCTTTTCTTTTATCGTTCTTCTGGTGTATTACTACTGTTTGTAACATATGTGAAAACAACTATATCGATTCGCTGCTACGCGCCTTCATTGCTCGATTTGATTGATATTAATTTTTCGTCGAGTTTGTATTGAATCGCTGTGTGTTTAATTAATTTGAGTGCGCATCTTGAGGTTGTTTACTTTGACACGCGAAATATATATATCTATATACGTTTTTTTTTTTCGTTTGTTCGTTCGTTTGAGTTAAGTGGCTGACAACAATAGCAGTAACAATGGCGACGGGCTACACGCAGTGACAGAGATAAGAGAAAAAAAAAAAGAAATCAGTGTCGATTTTTATCGTACATCAGTTGTCAAATGTTTAGAAATTAGCGATAAATTGGTGACTGAAATTCGCTTTAGTGATTCGACCAATTTAGGGCAGAGCAAACACACTTTGTTGCTTTTTATGTTAAGTTTCGCAAGATTAATCGGTTAATCGGCTATTGATCAATTGTTTCGGCGAGTTCAAATTCTCAGTGGAAAAAAAAATCCAGCAAACGACGAAAAGAAGAAGATAATTTTATTTTTCGACCGACAAACATGATTTGAAACTTAAAAAATGGTCATTGATTTTGTGCATGTGGTGATTTGTATACTACTTGAGTATATTGATTTTGAAGTGAAAAACGTCATACAAAACTCATATCTAGAAAACCACATCCGGTCATTTGAGCCGAACTAGTCACATAGAAAGACGGAGAGAGCGCAAGAGAACGAGCGAGCGAGAGCAGAGTGTATTTCAATCAAAATAGCGCAGTTGAACTGTGTTTACGCAACTTTATGCAAATAAAAAGACGATGTTCGGAGATCAAAAGCCACAGCGCACAAAAGGCGGAGTGTGTTCTTGATAAAAAAAGAAACAACAACAACAACAACAACAGCAGCAGCAACACAGAAACGATTTACGAATAAACACAAATTCAGAATAAGAACAAAAGTCACGACGACGACAAAAAAGATCATTTAAAATTTGACCTTAAGTCAAAAGTGACGAGCAATGACTTTTGAATTCAGCGAGATTGTGTGTTGTGTGTGTATGTGTTTGTAAGTGTGAAACAACGGAGATCATTCGCTCGTGAAGGAAACTGAACTCTGGTGCAGAGACGGGGAGGCTATGAGAACACAGTGCGATAAATACTAATTTTGCGATCATAATTGATATTCACAATAAAGCCAAAGTGCCAAAGCACTGCGAATAATTCACATTATTATTATTTTTTTTTTTTGATGAGACTTGCATAAATCATTTTGCATTCAAAGTTTATTATTTTCTGTTCGTTCGGTTCATCATTGTTGTTGTCGTCGGAGTTGGAGAAGAAGCGAAAGAAAAAGAAAGAAACAAGACCGTATAGAAACGTTTGATGTGCGTACGGTGCTGATTTATCGTAAATGTTTTGCTTGATTGTGTGAGATATGAACATTAGCAAAAACTTCTCGGTGCAGTGTACACTATATCCACGTGTCGTTGTTACATACTGAGCGAACATGAAAGGAAAGACATTTTGTTAAAAATAAATTGCTAAAGTGTGTGAGTTCAGTTCGTTGCTGGTATTTACTTTTTTTTTGTTGTTGCTCTCTCGTCTTCTGTCGTTACTTGAACCATTTTATTCGTTCAAAAGTCAGCGCAAAAGAACGTTGAGCGCATGATACGAACTTGCAAACGCGCTTTGATTGTGCTGACTCGGTGTATGTGGTTGAGTGTGTGATGTGTATATATATTTGTCGCGCCGTATTATACTTGATCGGGTGAAGTGAATTGACCCCGTTAACCCTTCGATGACCTTACCTATTTTCATACTGAAATCAACAGTGTGAAGAATCAACAAGAGCGACAAAATCGAAGCGAAATAGAACTGACAGAGTGGGAGAGAGAGAGAGAGAGAGAGAGAGAGAGAGAGAGAGAGAGAGAGAGAAAGAATTGTGAACAGAGAATGAGACAGACAGAATAAAAAAGAGTATAAACTATCGGACTCGTTTGAACTATGTGAACTCTAACATTAAATTCAAGCATTTAGAGAATATATACAGGCAGCCTAATGAAATAAATAGCGAAAACCCACAATAACATCGAAGCACAGCGACGACAACAGCAACAGTAACAGCAGAAGCAGCACCAAAACAATATTCGAATACTTAAAATAGAACGGTGTCGTTTGAAACGTCGATAGTTTGTATGAACTGTTGATATTTGTTCCACATTTACTGAAGCTTAGAGTCAAGCCAACGAGTCACACAGAGCCAAGTCAGTCAGCCAGTCAGCCAGTCAGTTAGTCCATCATAGGCAGCGAAAATTACACATAAACGACCGATTTCGGTTTTGTGTAACTATGTGAAGAATGCACAAGGTATACACAACAACGACAATAAATAAATAAATGAATAAATATATATATAATATAGCTCTAGATTTCATTTGCTTCATATTTCAACAAGTTAGACATTCTACGCTCATTTTCACACATGGATACACAATTTTCTCTCGCACGCTGTGAAATGGGTGAAAGAGCGAGCGAGAGAAGTAGAAAAAGAGAAGAAAAAAAGTGAACACACTGAGACAGCATACACTAACGCTTAATCTCGTGCACGTAGGTAAATGAAGGCCCCCCAATAAAAAGCGACAAAAAAAAAAATATATATATATATATGAAGTGACAATAAACGAAACGAGACAGAAACACTTTACTTCGATTTCATAGTTCAAGAGGTTCAGTGATTCAACGACTTACTTTTTTCTTTCTTTTCATTTCATATTGAAATATTTTTTTTAGCTTCTTCTTTCTCCTTTTGTTCACTCTTATCGAGATCGACAAACAAAATGTGCTGTATACCCAAACAAATGCATCAACACATATTCCGTGGTAATATTCCGAGTCACGGTTTCAATCACCGCAATTGTTGTATGTGTCACTCAGTGATTATTGCGTTCACATGCCAACTGCATTTCTCTATGAACTGACAAGTACATGGACACAACGAAACCGCACAGTCACACACCTCAAATGCACAATGTCGAAAATTTTACGAAGAAAATTGAAATTGACCCATTCGATGACTTTATTTTTGGTGTGTACATAAATTCAGTGAATTAAAATGATTATTATGAAGATAGCTTTATCTCAATGCCGGACATTCGTTCAGAAAAATGCCCCCATGCGCACACCAATGGCTTTTTTTCTGTTTTTTGTTTCGAATTGATCAACACCATAAACTTCGACACCGACACCGACACCGACACATCGATATCAATCCATGATGATGTGTGTGCGATCGTAAACAGATCACTTTTCACACTGTAATCCATGCGGTGCTCGATATTATTATTATTTTTTTGTTGTTGATAAATTGTCATTCGTTTTCATTCGAATAACACACACGAACATATACGAAAATATATTTGCCGACCATTTATCATACGGTCTGATCCTGTTTCTGTTAAATCAGTCCAGTTGACGATTTTTTTCTTCTTCTCGCATTTCTCTAACTCTTTCTCTCTCCTTCTCTCGCAGTTCCTCTCTCATTCACTCGCTCGCTCGCTTTTTCCATGTTTGTCATTTTCTTTCCACACTTATTTCGTTCCATTTGCATAATTCAACAATTGTATTGCCTGTAATTATACTGGCTTATCGTGTGCGATTCAGTGCTTGTTTATCCGAAAAAACCGACCATGTATAAACTGGTGTTCACATTCTTTACCCGATAACCGAACAGTTATAAAGTGCTTATTCATGTGTCTGTGTGTATTTGGCTCTTTTGATAAAATCTGTATCGAATTCGTTTCAGATCGAATCTATTGACGAATTCCAGATTTATACTTTGTTGCTTTTTTTCTCTTGGAATTAGAAAAACATATATTATAATCATTTGGGGTTGAGTTATTAGCGATATTCGAGTTATGAATTTTCTCTCTCGATTTTTTGTAAATATGATCAAATATCCAATATTAATCGGTTGGATGCGAGTGTAAAGTTGCAATCGAATCGATTTACAGCTCTGCATAAGTGCATTGAGTGTAATCGTTGCTTAGAAGAACAAAAAAAAAGAAGATGAAGACTAGAAAAAAATATGGCACACCAATTGAAAACTGTGCAATTTCACAGGAAAATTGAAGTGACCACTATAAAATGCAATGTAATTTAACACAAGATCTATTTATAATTTGCCATTTAGTGCTTCTGCTGTATTTTTTCTTCTTCTCTGACCGTTTTGTTTGTTGTTGTTTTTCCTCTCTCGTGTGATGTGAATAAATTACGCGACACATTTTCTCAAGGGAGCCAAAAGTTCGCAAAATAATCGTAATATTCTGCCAAAAAATTCGTATATCTTAAATCTAATATGCATGCATGCCACTCAAAATCATTGAACATGTTGCCTTGCAGTTGCTCTCCGCTGCCTCTATCTCGCTCTCCCTCTGAGCCGCCTGTGTCAAACACACAGTACACTGTTTCACATGGACTTTGTCGAGTTCAATTCAATTTGCTCTATTTGAATAAACATTTAACACTCAATTTTCAAACATATAATCTCCGATACCTTATGAATCGGTTTCTCCATTGAAAGGTTCGAATATTGAAAGCAAGAAAAATGTGTGTTGCGAGTGGTTATTTGTCGCGGCAAATAAACCGCATAGTTCAACATTTAGAGTGAAGTGTGTATGAGTGTGTGCGCAAAATTCATACGAAGCGATTTGATTCGTCAACAAAAAATTTTAAGTAGCGCATAAAAATGAGATCGATTTGCACATTTGCCATCAAAATGTCAAGAAGCCAAATGATGATCTGCTTAGCTCAATAACTAACCGACTATAAATAAAATGGTGACGAGAAAATGACGTTGAAAAGGAGCACGCAAAATTGTTTCTTCTTTTTTCTGCTTCGGTTTGTTTTCAGTTCGGTATTTAGTTAGAGTCAAAAACTGAGAGCGGCGATGCCATGGCATCAAACAAATTCGTTAATATAAAAAAAGAATAAAGGAGATAAATCCACTTTATCCTCGTGTGTGCACTCGTGAAAGGGGCACTACCGCGCGGCATCGCTGCTTCGAAAATGTTTATATTAGTTCAATTTATGCGTGTGTGTACACGAACAAAGTGTGAACAAAATTAAACTCGATGGCATGAGTGTGCGTGGCCTAGAAAAAAACTCAAATATCTGGGAATATGAGTTTGATTCAATTATTTTTCAAATGATAGCATTAGATTTTTTTTTTCACTGTTCGTTTCGCCCGATTTCTTTCAACTATTTTGTCTTTCGTTCGTCGATTGTGTGCTCTAGAGAGACATGAATGTGTTTTGCGTAATCAATCGGCATTGCGCATTTATATGGTGTTTTGAACGCCACTTGAACTTTAACCGCAATTGATCTCTAACTACGCCCGAAATCTAATCGCCTTCCTACTGTGCATTTACAGCCATCGTCATCGTCGTCATCGTCGTCGTCGGTTTCTCGTTTGCTCTCTGCTTTTGCTCGCTGTCTCTTTCTCAGAAATGGAATCACAGAAGAGTATTCTATTTACGACACATTGCTTGCGCTAAAATCATAAAATCACACGTGTATTAAAAAGGGATTGTGAGTGAGGTAGAGAGATGAATGTACACACACACACACACACACACTCGGTTCTTTGAAAATCGAATAAAATGTGTTGCGGTGAGAGTGCGAAAGAGCGCGGGCAATTGAAACGAACAAATGAACAAGCAAGACAGCCCAACAACATACATACATTCGAACAACAAAACAAATGCAATAAAAACACATTTCAACATTTTTTGCATGCAAATGAGACCTCAGCAAATCGCTAAAATAATACTTCATAAATTGCACAAACAACCTACGATCTGTCACACTTCAGATCCAACATTGGCTCTTGTACATTTCGCTCGTTTCGTTCGGTTGGCGTCGAGTGAACGAGAGAGAGACACAGAGTGTGTAGACGGCATTCTGCCCGTTTGTCGCAACATGTAATACTTGTACAGAGCAAACGAAAAACAACAACGCTATGGTGCTTTATAAATCTCCAATGAATTTGATCTATTTTCATTTCAATGTATAATTTATTTGAATTTCCATGCAATTTTATTATTAGAGTTTGTGTACAACATTCAAATTCGAAATAGGAGCGCAAACACACGAATGAATAAAATCTATGTTTTCCTTTCCAGCGCTGGCAATTTATTTGTGTGTAGGATTCAACTGGTCAAGGGGTACTCGTTCTGAAAACACGTCGTCGTCGCCGTCGAAAAGTGTTTACGTGGTGAAATCAATTGGTGAAACATTGCTAAGCCAAATCGACGGGAAATACTATAATTTTATTTGTGACAACAATGAAAAAAACAGAGCAAAAACTACAACCGATTTAAGAACTTCAAAAAGTAAAGCTAGACAATAAATCGAGAGATAAAAAAAACTTACGTACATTTACGAAATTGAAAAGAAAAAAAAGTAAAGAAAATAGATATAAATGAATGCTGTTAAGTGCGTGTTTGTGAGAAGAGTCGAAATACCTTCACTTCAATGAAATTTAACAACAGCAACAATTCGAGCAATAACGGTAACAAAAACTCAAGCGGCAGCTCCGATTGCGGCATGAATGAAATTGACACTGAAACACACGTTGTATGGCCATCTTGGTGTTATGCAGGTAAATGAATTCAATGCATATACATATACATATTTTAGTCAGTGTATCTCCCTTGTACTGCGACTGTGTAACGACAGTCTTTCATTGATCGTATGACAACAACAATGAAAAAATGATACACATGCGGCCAAACAGAAATAAAACCGTGCAATTTTTTCTCTCTAGTTAAAGCTAACAAAAGCGAAGAAGAAAAAAACACCGATTAATATAATATAATTAGTCATTGTATGGTCATTGCCCACGAAATGTGAAAACAATATATGCAAAATATTTCTTTGCTAAAAACATGCACATGCAAGTCGAACTTGCCAATGGCATTTCGGTTTTCAGTTCACAACCACTCGACCGTTTGCGATTGTTATAGGTTTGCTATTTCATTGCGCTGATATGACACTAACTGGGCTCCTCGATGACTGAAAATAGCCGACGCAAAAATTTATTCCAATTTTACCTATTAGTTGCGCTGCCGTGCGCCAGTTCAACATCCAAAGACGCATACTTTTTCAAAGTGGAAAAAATTGAATTCTACGGAATTGGATTTTGCATTTTCTACAGTGAAATTCTTGGTGCGCGCGGGCCAGGCCGCCGCCGCTCGTCAAACCAGGCCCATTTATTTGTATCATCGCACACATTATACCATGGAAAATACGATCAAAATAAAAAAAAAACAAATCGAACGCGAGGAATGATATCAACAAAAGCAAAGTCG